CTCTTACACCCGTAGTTGAATCTGAGAGCTGAGAGTGTTACTGATGCACAGATCCAGTACCAGATATTGGAGTAAAAATGAACAAAATCAGCTCATTTCTGTAACAAATCTAAACTTAAATGTCACTGAATTGCTTGTAGCACAGCAAAACGAAGTGAAGTAAAGTAGTGGTGCCATGATGTGCTTCTTCATTTTCTCTGGCCTTCAGCGGAAAGCTGCAAGCAACAACCTTAACCCACTCGAGTTCAAACACAGACAATACATCAGTATGTTTTGAAATTCTGTAGAATTTCATGGGATGAACTAAGCCTTAAATAACAAATACTGTTATAATAATCTTAAAGTAAATATTAGGCTACTAACACTCCCCCTCCTCACTGCCACAATATTTCTCCCAGTATTGGTCCACAGCCTGGTGATTGAGAACCTATAATATACTACACTTGACCACCAATGTGAGCAAAACTGTAGTACTTTATATCCCTTTTAAATCATAATGGTTTTTCCTTTTAATATTGGCTTCTCCCGACTCTGTGATGCAACTTAACTTGTCCTAACAGTAAGCAGTGCAACAACAAAATGAAAACACTCACATTTACAATTAATAGAACTGTCTTCAAGCTTGTATGTGTTGTTTGCAGAGAACAAATGGTATTATTTTTCTATTGTTAAGGTCTGAAAAAGATTTCAAAAGCTTTGAATGTTATTTTAAATATTGTGCAGCATCCCTGGAGTAGATTGGTATAAGAAGGGAATACGTGGTATCAGTGCATCCCTGCTTTGTAGTATTGAAGTGTTTCGGTGGCACCATAAAAGTGTTGAATTCCATACGCAGCCCTAGCCCTCTCCAACATTGTGTCAGGGTTCAAAGTAGAGGGTTACCAGCCTTTTTAACCGACTCTGAGACTGTGAGTGGGATGTCTGAGGCTTCTTAAAGCACGGTGGTCATTTCCATCACAATTGACCATGTAGGAACACTCAGTCTCGTCTGGAAAGCTCAGACCCTCCCTGTTCTTTCAGCTGGGTGTGAACGGCAAGCGGGGTTTAGACGGCATGACCCGCGTCTGCTTGAGGAGATCACCACCCGAGACAAACAGCCATCAGCTTCCTGACAGACCCGTAAACAAGAGCACTAGCTCATGCTGCAACAGCTCACGCTGAGCTGGCGAGAGCGGCAGCCTTTTGAGCAGGGATTTGTTTTGGACCTGACTGCTCTCTTGAAGGAGAGACACATAATGGGCCTCTATAAAGGGGGTTATGATTCACTCACATACACAGATTCATTTTTCTGTGACTAGTTTTGAGTAGGAGTGGGGAGGTGTCGTGGTGTAATAGTGAATACCAGTGTGATGTTATCTCACAGTGTTTTTTTTTTTTATGTAATGATGTAATGTAGTAGCTGTAGCAGTAACAGTAACAACAACAACGTAGTGACAGTAACACAGGCAACATTCTCGATGACGGTATGATAACTGTGACAGTGACAATATGATAACAGTGATTGAAAAATAACGTTTATGAATTTGCTTTTTGTTGACGGGGGTCTTGATGGGTGGCATGGTGAACATTCAGCAAAGCTAATAGATTACGTCGATAATGTTTGTGTTGGTGTGAATGTGTCGTGATGTGGATTTAATCTAATTGTGAATGACATAAGACCAAAATACGTACAGCCTTGCCCCCCACCCAAGACAAACTGTACATGGATTTGAAATCATTCTTGCCATCTCTCTAAAAATTTTTAACAAAATTTGTTGACAGTATTGGCACAGATTAGCTTTTTTTTATGTTTTTGTCACACTCTTGTAAATCTCAAATAATATTACCTTATGCACTACTTGTTGTTGTAATAATAATGCTAATAGTAGTAGCAATAATGATAATAATGATAATATCAGCAGTTGTAGTAATAGTGGTAGTATTTTGTGTATTGTGAGCTTGTCTCTATTGCCTTTATAGTGAAAAATAACAAAATATTGTGAAATAAAATTCACGATTTTACCCACCCAGTGTCAGATATACCCAAGGGCAAAGTTAGGTCTGTCACAATTATTGCATAATTCCCTGATCACAATTCTTTTTTATTTATGTCACAATAAACAGAGTGCAAATTAGGTGAATTTTCATCCACTAGTTTGAGGGAAATGTCCAAAAAAGAGATAAAAGCAAGAAAATAAATTTATTGATTCATGTGGTGGATCTTACAAAAACAAAAGTTCTAACTTGGTGCTATAACACCTTTAGAGGGCAGCAGTAAGTAGTGCTTGTTTATTTGATGTTTGATAACAGCTTTAGGGGCAGCCGTGAGTAATGTTTGTTTTTTAGATGTTTCTTAACTTTAGAGGGCGATGGTGGATAGTGTTTGACCTCAAGCTTAGTCTCTTGGGAGCTAATAAGTGGCGACAGTTCGATGCATAATAGGTAATCGGACACTTTAGACTTTACTGCAATACTTGCATACAGTGAACACAAGCAAACAAATTATTTAATACAATTATTGACCTGGCAATAAAAATGTCATTTAAAAAGTTCATGATTGTGACAAGCCTATGCAAAAATGCCCCATATGTAAACTTTTTGTTTTTCCAAGGTTAGAGGCTACAAATGCTGGCAGAAGTTCTATAAATCATGCTATATCATATAACAGTTAAAATTCTAAATGTAATTAAAGCAGTTTAAATTAAATGTCATTATCACTCTTCACTCATCACTGTCTGCTATTCTGAACCTGACAGAAGGAATGTGCCCATCTGTTGAAATTGAACTGCTCTGCTGCTGCGGTTGAAATCAAGTTAAAATGTCTTTGAATATTTTGCAAAGTGCCCCCATTTGAATATAGAATGTCCCTGTATTTCATTCAGTGAATGCAAAATTGTCCCTTAAAAAAAAAATTCCTACCCTGCGCCCACCCCTGGTTCTGAGGGCTGTTTAGCGTGTACTGCTGGTTTGAGCCACAAGTGAAACTTTTTCTACACCCTCTCTACACCCAACTGCTTTACAAGAATGATGTCGGGGAGGTTTCTGTTTACGAGAATGACGTGGCGGAGGTGTGACGGGGCATTGTGACGGCATGCTTTCAACAGCACATTCTGATCTTAGTGTGGTTATCTCTGCACTGTTTGATGTTGAAGGATCAGCTGATGTGGCAGTCATATTGAGAGCAAACCACAGGCTTGTAAGGTTTAGTATCGTCCAGGAAATGTAGACGGTTATATCTTTTGAAGAAAGTAATATGTGTGTTCACTATTACATGGTTCTCAAAGTTTAGAAATTAAAACTGACCTTCTCTGTGAATTGCGATTGATTAGTTGTTGTTCAGCATGATGAAGATGATGATACACATTCTAAAATTCTACTTCACTCTCTTACAGTAAGAGACCGAATGTTGGGGTCATTTGTACTTAAATACTTTGTTGACCATGCAGTGTTTTAGCATTTTCTTTTTAACCTTTTTAACTTCTTTGGACCACCGGTGGTTCCAAAATGCACTTTGTCATATTATTCATAACTTTGATATTACATAAGCTACATTGAAAAGGTGGGTGTCATATGAGAGCTGTAACTGTCTTCTTTCCAGTCAAATAGATGGGTAATGTAATTTTAAACCTTTATAATAAAAGAAACTGAACTCTCAATTTTTTTTTGCTACTGAAAGTTGACCCATTTTTCCACAAATCTGGGCTATAAACTGGATCCCAGATGGTGTCTCTTCAGTGATATGGTCTGTAAAAATTTTTTATAAAAAAAAATACAAAGAGCATCTAAGATTTTTGGCTCTCAGCAAAAAATTGTAAGCATATAGCAATATGTTCATGATCATAAAACACATTTTCTGTTAATTTGAGGGGAGCTTTTACAACACAAAATAAATAAATGCACGGAATGGAGATTTGTGACCTATGTGTGAAACATCCAGTTTGCATGGGCGGCGTATTGTGACGCATTGTTGTTCTGGTATGCATGTTGCTGCCGCTCAGTGTTCCTCCTGTAGCATAAGTGTTTCGAGGTGGTTACTGTTTTGCTGAGCTCGGCTCTCTCTGCGTGGCATCGTGTTCTTTCCCCTTCGTTCGCAGTGAGTTTTTTCCACTTGCCTGGAGAGTTCAGAGCTCGTTTGATGGAGTAAAAAAACTGCCGTTCTGTGGGTGGTTCAGTGTCAGGAGACCATTACCAGCTGTCACTCTCTCATAACTGTGGAGTACTTACTGTATTCATTTATGGAACTGAACCTGGCAGTACTGAGTAATGATCGCAGTTAGTGCTGAATATTGAAATATAATGCTTTTATGGTTTTAACTGAATAACTTAAGTACTACAGTGTATTGAAAAATCCATTCCTTTGAATACCAGGTTTCACTACCCATTGTAGTCAGTCTTGTCAGCTTCAGTGAGCCAATAAGCATGTGTACAAAACCTTGACTGCTGATTGGCTGTCTAAATTAGTGCTTTATGATTAGTCTGTAATCCGTTATGGTCAGTAATTATGCCAACTTTCAGCATCTCTCACTTACTTTTGGTTTAAGCCACACTTTTCTTGAAAAGAAGATCATAAAAGAAATGTCACTCTAGAATCTCTATCAAGGTCAAGATATTGGGATTTTTATCAAAAACCTTTGAACAATACCCATCCTTTGTCGCAGAATCAGTTTTACTGTTGTAATCACTGAGCAGTTGCATAAAATTTCCTGCTTCTTGTTCCTCTGAAATGTGTCCATGTTTTCTGTGTTAACCTACTGAAGAAATACCCCTTTCGCAAAGTTTCGTAGGGTACTAATGGATATCAGAAGTTCCTCCCTCTGTTGATGTTATGTATCCATGACCGAACATGCAATACTAGCATGTCAGATAGATCCTGTAATAATTCTCCCCAATTAAATAGGTAGTGGTCTCTTCTACTACAGTGTTGCCTGTGTTGCAATTAACTTTAACCCAAATCTTAACTTCAACCATAAACTTTTTCCCCCTCTCATCTCTTTTCTTCCTCTTCCTCTCTTGCTCTGTAGGAGCCGTTGGGGCCCAGTCCCTGTTCTCCATGCCCCGGAGGCCCGGCTATGGCACCATGGGGAAGCCCATCAAGCTGCTGGCCAACTGCTTCCAGGTGGAGATCCCCAAGATGGACGTCTACCTCTATGAGGTTGACATTAAGCCTGAAAAGTGCCCACGCAGAGTCAATAGGTATGTCATGTGTTTGTGGGAAATGTTTGAAGGCAGCTGGATTGAGGTCTTTGATCCATATGACACCCTAGCTCAAGTCTTGTGCTTGTTTTTCTAAAGTTCAGATAAACAGCTTAAGTGTAAAGAAATACTCTACCAAGTCTGCCATATCTGTAGTGTACAGTTGACCAGTGAGAATACTTTTGACTTGTTTTTAATTTATTTAGAAAATAACTGAAAACCCAGATAGAGATTAGGCTGGGAAAACTAAGCTGCCTTATTAACCTTATTCTCCCTTATTGGGCAGAAAACTCATTAGGGCAGTTTTCAATAGAGATGCGCGATAACTGTTAAAAATGATTTATTGGCATCAGAAAGATAGAAATACCGGACATATCAGACTGGTATTTGAAAACTTGTATCTGTTGTGTTCTGAAAGAACAGAATATTTGGACAATTCTGGACTACGACACTACAGTGTCTGTATTTTATTCATTTCACTGCATGTGAACAATGCTCTACAAATAAATTTTAATTTAATTCTAATACTGGTTGGTCACTGTCCCAGTTTGTACATTTTCTAAATGCATGTTTTTCAGAATGAAATACATCATGAATGAGAAAGATCAGCATTGGCTCTGAATTCTCATATCGGTGCATCCCTAGTTTTAATCTGCTTTAATGTGACTCTCTGACATGGTGGGTGTGTAGGGAGGTGGTGGACTCCATGGTGCAGCACTTTAAGGTGACCATCTTCGGGGATCGCAGGCCAGTCTATGATGGGAAGAAAAGCCTTTACACAGCCAACCCACTGCCTGTGGCACCTGCAGGAGTAAGTCTGACCTGGACTTTGGTTCTCTTACACCTCTCACAAAGGCACTTCATATGTAAATACTTGCAGATGTTGTTCCTTTCACGGAAGTTTGTGTGGCTTTGCGTATCAAAATAAACATAATACATTTTTACCTGACCGTTTTCCAACCTATGAAACAAAGTTAAATAGGCTGTTTTTGCTACTGTGCCTTTAAGACTGATTTATGTAAATGAGCTCTGTTCTGATTGACAGTACCTCATTGAGAAAGCAGTCCAAGCTGAAACATTCCTTATAACTTTTGCATATGATGTGAATGCTTGATGTGAGTGTTTTTGCAGCTTAGTTTCCATATATGGACTTGGGAATGGGTAGCGCTCTTAACAATGTTTACATGAACTCTTTCAATAAATGAGGAAAATATGTTTTTGATACAGGTTTGATATTGATGTCATTATACTATGATATAGACAATACTATAAACAATTATAATAATGTTCACTAACGCATGTGGTAATTTTTACTTATTTATTTATGTTTTCCTTGCAGGTGGACCTGGACGTCACGCTACCAGGAGAGGGAGGAAAAGACCGACCGTTTAAGGTCACCATCAAGTTTGTGTCTCTGGTCAGCTGGCACCTGCTGCATGAAGTGCTGACTGGACGTGGAATGCCTGAACCACTGGAGCTGGACAAGCCCATCAGCACCAACCCAGTACACGCTGTAGACGTGGTGCTAAGACACCTGCCCTCTATGAAGTAAGCGAAAGATCTCCCCTGTTCTTGGTCTTCACTTCTAATTCATGATGTAGTCAGTCTCACTCACTCAAAGCTCAGAACAGGCAAACACTTGTGCAAGAGCTGTGAAGTAGATGGAGAAAATGCAGTTGCTCATCAGGCTTTACTTGATAAACCTGCTGTTTCCTCTGGGAATGCAAGCTATGTTAAGTAGCATATTTAAAATACTGAAAGCATATTTTTGGCTTTTTTTAGCTGATTATCCTTCAGCCATCTCGACTATTATTGTTATGATGTTGGCTCTAGCAATACTAAATTCACTGAATTTATTAATATGTGCTGTGAGCATTCTGACCATCACATTTGTGTCATTTTTCAAGTATACTTTTTTGGAATATTGCTATGTTTTTATCACAAAAAAGAAACACATTGAACATGATTTTATACTGATATCAGTAAACTTAATTTGAAAATGTGTATAACCTATGATATTTTGCATACTGCATATACTTTTTTCAGATGGCAATAATGCAGTAATTTTAGAATTCACTCTGTTCGATTGGACTTTCACAAACAACATGAACTCTACCAATCACTGTTATCTCTGGCTTTGAAATAAGGACAGCCATAATGACAACACCCACTCTGTGATGAACATCATTAGGATTAGTTCATCCTCTGCTTTGTAACATCTGTTCTAGGATCTCCAAAAGCAGCTCAAACTGGGCTCCAGACATCTGAGCTCTATGTGAAAGCACTCAAAGTTTCAGGTTCTAAACAGAGGGGTGAAACTCTTCATGCTGTTTTAGCTTTTTCAAAATGGAAAACAGCCAGCCTAGTGTCATCCTTTGCCTTTTTTCTGCATATTTTTGAAGACATTAAAGACTTCTTACATTCTGACACGAGCAACATGGCAACATTGCTCTCTCTCTCTCTCACTATTTGTTCCTCTTGGCATCTAGTTCCATGCTGTTTGTGATCATGTTTGTACATCTGTAACGTTCTCGTACCCATTAAGAGCGATAGTGGATGGCCTTGAAGCCCTGAATGCAGTACTCACCCAACTGCCTTATCAGAGCCAACACAGAAGCTTTTACAGAAGTCTAGTCTTGCTGTTTCAACTCTTTCAGCAGTGCCTTCACTGAAACAGCCTGAGAACTAAAGCAAAGTGGGCTAGGATAACACATTTATATCAAGAATATAGGTGAGGAAAAGATCTGGATTTTACACAGAGGCTTAAGCAAAGTTTAAAAATGGCTCTGTTTTAATTCCAGTGTGAAAGTAATAGAGTGCTAGACTCCCCGCTAAATGTCTGACCAATCAGTGAACGTCCGTGTGCCCTTGTTATCTTGGCAGTCCTAAGTTGTATTAAAGCAGAGACATTTAACATACGTGAATCACAATCATAGCAATGATAATAAATCTTATTTGGTCTCTCAGTCTTTATGACTGAATGGTTTGTCAATTCGATTTTGCTCATGCTTGGGCGAAATATAGCATGGCAAACTAAAGTATGGTTCTCTTGGAAGTGGCCAGAGTTCTAGTGTGGGTGGAGTGTTCACGTGTGTCATAACAAAATGAACTAAAGAAAACGTTGAACTGGTTTGCACCAAACAAGGAAACGGTAACATTGTCTTAAATTGCATGTTTTCCATAAATCAGTAGTCATTATTCGGCGTTATGCATGATTATGCATATTTTAAAGTTTAAAAAACAGGCCTCATTGGCAAAACAATTTGTATGCATCTTTGCAGTGTTGATTTGTTTAATTATGTCTTTATCAAGTCTTCCTTGTTTTTTCTCTTTCTCTTTAAATGTTTTAATACTAGTGTATTGTAATAGATGCACAGCAGGGACAGTCGCCCGAGTATATTTCACCATATTTCGACATGTAATTGATTAATCCGTTATTGTACAACAAACAGCGAGCCTTACTTCCAAGTCAGCTATAACAAGAATGTAGTTCGGAGTTCATAGAGCAGAGATAGCGAGCAGAGCAGAAGCCTTACGGATTCAACAAGGAGAGGGGAGAGAATTATCAGACAAAGCGAAGTGGAGTATTCTCCTTCCCTGATAATTTAATCAACGTTTATTAACCGTGACTTTGATCGCTAGCGATTTCGAACTGCATGTAAAAAGCTGAAAAATGGCAGAAAATTAGCTTGTTAGCTACAGTCGTGTAATGTTACCTATCAAAGTTGTCCTCTTTAATGTTTTTTTAATCAGTTCGAAAGAATATCTAATGCAGAAATAAAGCAAATGCAGAATAAATGCAGAAACACTAATCTCAACCACTGTTATGTCAGATAATTTCTTGTCAAATTACAGTTGCAGCCGACAGTGAGATTTTAAGCAGTGCTGTAAACTTCAGGAATCAGTGAAGCAAGCAGTCATGAGAACTGGAACGGAACAGTGAGGCGACAGGACCCAGTACAGTAGAACTGAAAGTGCTGGGGGTGAGTTCAGTACAGTTTGAGGTGATGCAGTTGACCCACCAAACATCCTCCACAGTAGTTTAAAAAGAAATAAAATTGGATCCGTACCTGTACTAGCCGATACTCAAGGTTTTGGTAACTGTATCGTAACAGAAAAAGTGGTTTCAATCCATCTCTATTGGTAACAGAGGGGGAACAAAGAACCAGTAGTGCCACATTTTACTTTCAAAAACTGAATACAGTGATTTTTTATTCAATGTTTGACATACTACATTGCACTAAATTAAGCAGGACTAATTATGCTCTTTCTCTGTAATGGATATAAAGGCAGTTGGTTGGTGTTCTTTAAGTGCTGCTGATATCCACAAAATGCTTAGAAAAGTGACACGTGATATGACTTCATGTAATTACGCAGTGCCAGTTTCTCCGCCTTTGAAGGTGTATTATTGCATTTACACCACAGTTTCATTATTGATATTTGTTTTGGGATATTGAGACAATGATGACACTAAAACTGATTAGCAAGGAAGTTTATATACACTCCTTGAAGAAAAATAGATAATAGAAAAATATTGGCACTTACACAATGCTTCTAAGCTGATCACATTGCGAGGTGGGGACTAACTGCTATCATTTATCACGATAATGATAAATGTTGTCTGATTGCCTAACTGAGTGTAGACTTTCACTGACTAGCTTAATGATGTGTGTGTCAGTTCTTGAGCAGACTGTGAACAGTGTAAACAAACTGATACAGATGGTTTGCACCACATGGGTGAGGAACAGTGGAAGCCTGTCTGAGAGACTGAACAAGTTGTCTTCCTGTACTATAGTTTTGTAGTGCTGAAAAATTGACCTGGTGTTTTCTCAGTAAAGGACAGCTTTACAAGTGATTTTCGCTTTTGTTGGCTTATTGCACATCATTGGTTTATAGCTCACCTGTGACCATTTTAGTGATTGCAGTTGAATTGTTCCCATTCCTGTTTGTTTCTTGATCTGGTTGAAACATCTGACAGGGCAGAGGTCAAAGAGAGAGAGGACTGTCAGGACCATTAATAGTCAGTTTGTAACCTTTAACCACAGGACCCATGAAACAGCAATCAACAAAAAGTCAGTGGCTCACAGCTTTTAAACTTTGTCATGTGACAAAATACAGAGGCTAACAAACACATTTGCAGGTTAAAGCTTAAGGCTAATCTCAGCAACATGGTGTTTAAAAAGAGTCGGTTGCCAACCTTAGAAGCGGCAGTGCCGTAAGCTATATTTAGGGTGATTTAATCTCCGTTGTATACCTTTTATTGACGGCTCTGGCACTGTCAAGTCAGCTCCAGAAAACCCAGAGTGCATCACTAAGTAGGGCTACCGAAACATATTGTGCTCTTATGGCCTCATGCGTGTAGTTCAAAACAGTCCCTCCTTTTCAAATATGAATTATTTATCAGAAGACCTTCTGTCTGATAGCATTGGTTGAACATTTATGTATTTGTCAATAAATGGTCAATTGGGTAATTATTAGCACTCCTAATGTAAACTATTATCGTGATACTGTGGTATAATTAGAAAGTACTGTGGTGGTGAAGCTTGTCCATTGGCCAGCACTGCTGTCTGTACCACAGGTCTTCAAATCTGACCCTTGATTCCAGTTTCCTGTCTTAGGATTTTCCAGTGATTTTGGTAATTAAACTGTTGATGTAATCGAATGGCCATTTAGTGTCATACCTACCAGTGTTTACAAAATCCGAGAGTGGAAATTGGATTTGAGGCCCATATTTGAAGACCTCTGTTCTGTTTGTTACAGTGCAAGTCTGTAATATCTCAGTATATTTCATTATGGCTATATTTAATACAATATAAGTTAAAATATCACCTATGTAATAAAATGAAACAGGCAACAGCGAGAGATGAATGGTAAGAAAACGAAGCAGGAGAACAGTAGACGAGTGTCGGACAGAAACCTATGGAGTTTGGATGTTGTGCCTTTTGATTGAATTTATAATGGACTTGATGATCTGGTATGTCTGAGCGAAGTAAAGTACTAGTTAGTGTTTTGGTTGCTTTTACATTGCTATTTGTAGAATAGTAGAGAAGTATTTGGGCAGTAGCTATTTCAAACAGGAGAGGCCACTCGCTCTGTTCTTGCCTCGTTTCTGGGAAAGGGGAATGTGTGGCACTGTGTTTGACCTCAGTTCAAAGCAGCAGCATCTGAGGAAATCGGAGCAACCAACAAGCCACTTGAGAAGGGGAGGGGGGAACAAAAAATCATATTTTGGTGCAGGCTGCTATAACTGCACAAGAGAGGGAGAACAGAATGGCATAGAAGTACTGAGCAAAGCGGAGAAACTTTTGCATTTAGACAGAGTCAGAGGCCATATAAATTCGTGAGTCAATTAAAATGTTCTGACAGATGGATGATGTTGGGAGTAGTTTATGATAGTTGGTGAAAACAAGACAGTTTGGTGCAAGTGGCATATGTATTAGCGGAGTTTAACTGTATCAGTGCAACATGCTTGATGGATCTAACAGTCGTAATTCAGCTGCATTGGTTTTGGAATGCTATCAGTTCTCAATGCTATCAGTCAATTTTCAAATGTAAACAGCTTTTTTAAATTTCTGTATTCCTCTACTATGTAAGTTCCTTTTTTTTCCCACATTCTTAAAAATAATTCTGACTCATATCAGAATAAAGTATTGTGAATTGGCAAATTTTTTAGATTTAATAAGGCAGTGAATCGAGCCAGAATGTAATCGAAGCATAATGCACTTGCATGTACTCTCATTCTTTTCCCATCTCCTTCATTGTCACTGTTTCCCTCCTTCAGGTACACTCCGGTGGGTCGGTCGTTCTTTTCGGCTCCAGAGGGTTACGACCATCCTCTGGGAGGAGGGAGGGAGGTATGGTTTGGCTTCCATCAGTCTGTACGGCCTGCCATGTGGAAGATGATGCTCAACATAGATGGTAAGGGAGTTTTCTTACACACAAATATGTATCACAATATTTTCTTTTCCCCCCAAGATAGAAGGTTTGAAGTTGGAACAGACACAGTGCACCACTAGTGCCATGATGTGATTCATCAGGATAACAATATTGTCATATTGCCCACCAGATAAGTCAGGGCTTAACACCAGACAAGAGCACAGAGTGTGGGAACTGCTTGGAGAGTTGCCATGGACACAAGGGGCAGCCCTCTGGCTGAATGGTTGGAGATGACGTACATTTGTGATCTGGTTGGGGCGGTGCTTTGTCTGTCTCGCTCCGTGTCTTCTGTCTCTGTCTTTGTCTGGCTGGGGTGGTCTTTTTTCAAATTTCCCCCGCACTTTCATTACAGTGCAAGACAATTTTCAATTGGCTGAACCCCCACCACCCCTCACCCTCATTGCCAAGCAGCGGGAAAAGTCCAGCCGTCTGAAAGCAACTCCCTTTTACACCCTCATTGTGTCTCTCATAATGGAGTGAATAAGACCAGAAAGGGCGCGAAAGCAACTGTGGCTTCGCTTTGAGCTCACGTCACTACTTGGTCGTTGTTTAAATAAAAGCTTAATTAAGCACAAAGCCTAGTAGATGACGACAAATTATTTAAACAGATCCACGATCATCCCTCCTTAGCTTATGATTTCTCAGCACCATCATCCAATCACGATACTTGAAGGCAGTGGTCTGACATCTAATCAGCTACTTGTTACTATGCAGTATGCACTTACTATACACTGGATGTTGTTAACAGGGTTTTTTTTTTCATGATCAGTTGTTCAGTGTTCTAGAAGTACTGACGATGCCCATGATGTTCTCAGATAAGCATATAGTGATGTAATTTATCACAGTAACACCTGACCATATTGTCTGCCCCTACTCATGCCCTGTGTTAGAAAATGGTCTTTTATAAACTCAGAGCCTTCAGTTGCTCCTCTTCTCCTGGTGAGAGTTTTGAAACCAAGTGAGATTCATTTGACTGAAACAGTCCTGGAAAAGCTGCAACACTGTGTAGTTTGGTTTTCATCGTCCCGTGCGCTGCATATTTTTACTTTCCCTGCTTTAACACCTGATTCAACTCATCAGGTAATTATCAGGCTCTCCTGGAATGACTCACAGTGCAGGGGAAAAAAAAAAAAACACAAAAATGTGCAGAACATGGTGGTACTGCGTTTGAGAACCACTGCTCAAACATGCCTCAACATTTAGTAAGCTTCATAATGATTAAGCCCTGCATAACTTTAAATAAGTGTTTAACACACTATAGGAGCTAGTTTTACCAGAGGATGTTTTGTAATGTAGTTTTGTGATTAGTCTGGTTTACTTCACAATTTTTACTGTCAGACTGTAAAACTACCCATGATGCCGACTGATACAGGATTTAAATCACTCCAGTTATTGCTGTCAGACTACTTAAAATTACACATATTGTAGAATCCTACTGGACATACATACACAACTATCTATATAACACTACATACACTACAAACACTACATTTTGATGGACGATTACAGGAACACAAGAATTTTGTCTTGTAAATTACAAGATATGAATCGTACTTATTATGAAATAACAGGGTGAAGGAGGTAAATTTTGATTTCAGGTTAACTTTAAGACAGGTAATCACTAAACTATGCAGCACTGTGGCTCTTTAGTAACTACTCTGGTGGATCTTGTTGTACAGACAGCATCTATATTTACAAATGTGTTGAAAGTATTAGGGCTCATCTGTTTGCCAGCCGCATGCTTCAAAACTGCACGACGGTCTGACTGTTCTCATCAGTTCTAGACTTTTTTTTCCACGAGAAAGAAATTTCAAGATTGGTATTGCTAGCTACTTCTGTTTCTCCTCTATTTCAGGTCTTATAAAGATCTGAGACATGCCAGTTCCAATGTCATACCCTAAAACAGCTGTTAGTGTAATTAGTTCAGTGACTAATAATACAAATTATACCTTCGGTGGCTGATGGAGATGTTAATGAGGATTGACTTGTATTAATGATTGTTTTGAGACGTTTCTGTTTTTTCTTCTCTGCCCCAAAACCCAGTGTCAGCCACAGCCTTCTACAAAGCACAGCCAGTCATTCAGTTCATGTGTGAAGTTCTGGACATCCACAACATCGACGAGCAACCTCGCCCCCTCACAGATTCGCATCGGGTCAAGTTCACCAAAGAAATCAAAGGTGAGCTTTAGAGAGGTGGTCACAGGTAGGTGGTATTAAAACAACTGCAATAAAATAGCCAACAGTGAGAACAAAACTCAATTTGCACATCCTTTCCCGAGTCTCTTCCCAAACTGTGTGTCATTTCCTTCTCAAATCTGCCATTTATAGTAGGATACCCATGTAGTTGTGTGACTCATAACCAAACCCCATGCGAAAATACGATTAATCTAGCGTAATGAGCATGAAACTTGGACCTTGGAGAAAGTAAGTGGGAGAAGGTAACATGACCTGATGAATCATCTTTATTCTTTTTAGAAGGGCTCACTCTATGATACGAGGACAGCAATTTATTATTGTTTATAAGGTACTGGTTGTAGTTAAGGCTATGACTCAAGAAGTCATGGTATTAGTTCCAGATGATGCTCTCAAGTGCCTTCAACAAAGTGCTTATGTCACAAATAAGTTGTGAGGGGAAAAAGATGAGTAAACATTAAGCATGCTAAATCTGTTTGGGTATCTACTTTTTTTCTTTTTTCTTTTAAAATAGAAAAGTGTGCATTAAAACCCTGTAACTCCATTTTTTCAGTTTTAATTGAAAATGCCAGCTGTCCTTTACGTTCTGTGAACATTTCAGCAGAATTCGTCAGACCAGAATTGCACAAAATATTGTTCAATAACATAAATGAAAGTTGAGAACATTTTTATTCTTCTAAAAAAAATTCAGATGTCCAAGATTTAGTTACAACAGTGAGACTGAACTGTATTTATGTTACCTTGCCAACCTGTCTGTGCATGTATGTCTGTGTTTTAGGTCTTAAGGTGGAGGTGACGCACTGTGGAACCATGCGGAGGAAGTACAGAGTCTGTAATGTGACCCGCCGGCCTGCCAGCCACCAAACGTGAGTCAGGGAGTCTGTGGGCGGTGGAGGGGGCTCCATGAAGGGTCAGAACCTGAAGAAACTTAACACGGCTTTTCAATTTTTCTTTTTTTGCTGTTTACTTCATGTCCCTGGTCATAATAAAAATGATTCATCACATATGTTAAAAGAGAGAATTCTTGTTTTTCCATGATCTTGCATGAAAATATTATCATTTTGGCCCCACCTCTGAAGCGTCTTCTTAGTTTTTAATGAATCACTATGCATCGGTGGGTGGGGAAAAGTAATATTAACTGCTACTGATGTGTCACCCCCCCAACCCACACCACCACTACCACCAGTGAGTCAGCTAGCTCAGAGATCCTCTCTGACATGGATTTTCATTCAAAAATTATTAGTTATGATTTACATTTGAAGTTCCCAAGAATGTTTGATTGCAGTATGTGCTGTGGGCTGTACGATATGGACAAAACACTAGTGTTGCAATTACATATCTACATATGGTAAATGTGATGCACCTTAAAATGTGGTACTGAGACATGGTTAAAGATCGGCCTGCGTTATGGTGACCATGGAGTCCTGCAGAAGTAAATTATTTTGAATATTTTGATTAATCAGAACACTCATAGAACCATCTGGAACTGATTAAATTGCTCTTTTGCATATTGCAACTTACTGTGGTATCAGTGTTATAAAGGCCGATACTGTGATTCAAGTTCACCAAACAACATACTGTGCAGCTCTGCTGCATTTCATATCATTTTCTGCTCGCTGGTGCCCACCTGTGGATGTAGCTGTACTTTAACTGGTCCTCTGATGGTTTGCAGGTTCCCCTTGCAGTTGGAGAATGGGCAGACAGTGGAGCGGACCGTAGCTCAGTATTTTAGAGAGAAGTACAACCTGCAGCTCAAATACCCTCACCTGCCCTGCCTGCAGGTGGGCCAGGAGCAGAAACACACCTACCTGCCTCTAGAGGTGAGACATCATTGTTAAAGGACTGTTTCTTCTAAAATGGCAACTGCTTATAAAAGCTAATCCCTACTTAAAACATAATAACCGAATAATAAATTCTAAATAGAGATGCAATGATAATGAAATTTTTATGGCGATTTCAAACTCTTTACAGCCAAATCCCTTTTTTTTAAACATTTGAAGCTTACACTGAGTGGAGCACATTTTCTGAACTTGTTAGCCAAACTTTCAAAATAAAAAAAAAAAAATTTGCTTTTAAACGAGCCAAACTGTTTCAAATAAAAAGATAAATGTTTAATGCTGAAAATGTTTAAATTTTAAATAACAAGAATCAAATAATGTGCTACATCAAAAGTAAGAGACAACTGGTTATTGAGTACAGTGATTCATGCATAATGATGCTACAAAATGGTACAAGTGTAGCAGCAGCATTCAAACACAGAGCGAGCGCGTTTACCTGGCCCATGTTATTTCCATCATAAAACTGCAACACGGATTGTCCGACTGCTGTGATTTCATGTTTGGGCAAAAACCTGCCAATTCCGATCTTGGCTGAATGTGCACTCCTAGATGTGAAGTATAGTAAGTGAAGTATCTCTCCAGCACCTGGCTGAATGAGCTCACTTAATTCAGCTTTTCTGATTGTTGCTTATTTTTGTTTTTTAATTCCCCTCCAATTTTTTGCAGGTGTGTAATATAGTGGCTGGACAGAGGTGCATCAAGAAACTGACCGATAATCAGACATCCACCATGATCAAAGCCACAGCGCGTTCAGCACCGGACAGACAAGAAGAAATCAGTAGACTGGTGAGCGCCCACTGCTGTTTAGAAACTGTGTTACACCCTGCTACTAATAGTAAAAAAAATGACCTACTATTTGTACTTTATTACATATACAAATGTGATTGACCACAGGATTCTCTTTTAAGCGTTTGTTTTGGTATCTCACCAGACCACCGGTAAGATACTTTGCTCCTGCGATCAAAGAACTGGGGATGCATTAGTAACCTAAAGTTTCCACAACCAAGCTTATAACTACAGCAATAGAAAATCAGTGGTCTTTCATTGTGAGGTACGTTATTTTGGCCTAAGGTCAGGGTTAATTGAGGTCTGTGGAGAAACCTCGCCTTTCATTACGTGTCTGATTAGTCCTGAAGCTCTCTGTAGAATTTCAAGGGCTGCCAGTGTTAACTTTGAGCAAGACCAGCTGATTGAAACGCAGCTCCATATTAAAATAAGTCATCTGAGACTCAGTAAGGTTGAGCAGTTGTTACTGTTGTTACTCTCTCTTAGTCTGAGAAACTTCCAAACGGAGGCGTGATGAGACGTGGGCGGAATGATTCTGACATTGCCGACGAACAAAATGTACCTTGTTTTGCCTGAGGTTCTAAAAATAACCATTTGTGTATTCAAGCAGAAGCAAAAGTGGTGTTTATTCAACATTTTTTATGAAATGTCTTTCAGTTGATTCAGGAGAAAAAACCTTTTCAAGCATTGTGATCTCACTCCACATGAATTCCATTCAGTGAAATGCAGAGCATGGTTGAACTGGATGAATGTCTCATAATTCACTTTCTCACTCTGTTTTCCCACGACTGGTCTTTCCCAGGTGCGCAGTGCCAACTATGAGGCAGACCCTTTTGTGCAGGAGTTCCAGTTTAAAGTGCGTGACGAGATGGCCCATGTGACGGGCCGCGTGTTGCCGGCACCCATGCTGCAGTACGGGGGCAGGGTGAGCTCAGAGCACTATCTGGTACCCTTCCTTTAAATCACGCACATCTCTCTCCGTCTGTACGTCCGTCTGATTGGCACCTCTGCTGGAGGAACTAACCCACTCCCTAACCTTTGTTGTTGTTTGTTTGTTTGTTTGTTTGTTTGTTTGTTTTGTTTTATTTGGTCTGTGTGTGCCGCAAAATAACTACCTTCCAAACAAACAGGTTTTAAGGTTGCTGTGTTTGATATGGGTTTTGTGGGGTTTTTTTTGCCTTCTCAAATTTGAGTCCTGAGGGGACACAGCACTTGTGTGAACAGGCTTGATTCACCTTATATTCTAATTGCATAAGTGTCTTAAGGCCTGGACATACCAAGCCGACTCACCGTTGGATGCAGTCAGGCTGTCTGTGAGCTTTGGTCACCAACGGTTGCCTGTTGGCGCATTGTATCCCACACCGTTGGCTATAGTCAGTCCACGTCAGTGCTGTTTTGGCTTATTGAGCATGTTGAATCTTTGTCTGCGGTCAGTTTTGAGAGAGCTGAGAATCAGTGCATGATGAGCGAAATGAGCATTTCTCAACACCAGTGCAATTAGCAGTGTTTGATCACTAGGGATGGGCATTTTAACCATATTCAAATGTCTGAATTCTTAAACAGACAGTATTTTAGTACCAGAGAAAGTATTTAATACTGTTTTGAATCAACATGGACACACAAGAGTTGTGAAGGTGCTCTGACAAGACACTAACATAAAATGAAGCATGAGAGACTTCCTTATTTCATAAGCTTCCCCCCACGCACATAATTATGAACCTGCACCAACTGAACATTTTCTCTCACTAGCCAAGTTTACATGCAGCCTGATAATCCTTTATAATTCGACTGATAGCTCATTTGGAACAGAATATGTCTATGTATAGATCTTAATCAAAATGGACTAGTCCGATTGACACCGTTCAGAATACAATTTCTATCCAATTGAACGAGAAGGGTAATCTTATAAATAATCCATTAAACAGAAGAATAATAGTAAACATCTGTATCTGATTACATTCCCAATTGGAAAGTTTAAGTATGTTCTGTGCATTTGCGTTTGCATCATAGCGAAAGTTTATAACGTTCAACATGGTGGGCACAGAAACTAGTCTGCAGAGGAGACTAAGTTTATGGTCTGAGCTTTAAAAGACGGTGGTGAGACGGGCATCCAGCTTGTATGTCTCAGAACACGATGTCTTCCTCTCACCCTTCTTTAATAAGTACACGTAAAGTACGTTTTCCTGAGTCTGACGTCATTTTAAACCAATTAATAACACAAGCTGGAACACAGCTGAAAACTCAGGAACCACACTGCTGCTCATCTCACTCTGACTGGACTCACGCTATGCCCATTGTTATGGTAACGTCTACACTAAGTGTTGCTCTACGCATGCACGTAATTTTGGATTGGATTACTCATAGTGTGCATGTAAACTGAGATTTTCCATCTGATTTTTGAGTAGAGTGAGCATATAAACACATCAGTCTTGATCTATAATGTATTCAGTGGGATTGGCAAAAATCTTTGCATGTAAACACAGCCCCTGTGTCACGTACAAGTGTTCACCTTTGAGTAGCCTTTTTTACCAACCCAGTGCCAAACCGTGATTTACTTTCACAGGTTTGTAAGAGCTTGTAGGACATTCAAACAGTACATTACTTTATATGTTGCAGTTTTACAGACAGCTCCTGCTATAGAGAGTCAGTCCGTTTCACGCAGATGCATTAAGTATGTGCATGTCAGGCAGCACTAGTTCCTTGTTGGTTTGATGTGTCTTTGCACTTTAGAGCAGCCAAAAGACTAAACTCAATGCTGTGGCTTCCCAGGGCAAAATAAATGTTTGTTCTAGATGGTAGAATAAAAATCAGTAAATATTATATGGTTATTAGGTCACTTTCATGTCGGTTTTATCAGAACATGCCATTTTCTTTCCAATGTGGAATGCATGGAGTGGCTGTGACTTCATGTTCAGTAGTTTTTGTAATGTGAAAAAAAGTGTTTTTACATTTGACTAAGCAGTGTTTAAGTTCCTGAAACATTTTCACATTTTTTGTATGTATTTTATGTATGTATGTGCATTGCTGTGTATGTTTTTAAAAACCCGAATGCAGCAGATTAACCCTGTGCTTTTTTTGCAGAACCGTACCGTGGCTACTCCCAGTCACGGTGTGTGGGACATGCGGGGGAAACAGTTCCACACGGGTGTGGAGATCAAAATGTGGGCCATTGCCTGCTTTGCCACGCAAAGACAGTGCCGTGAGGAGATACTCAAGTAAGACATCAACATCGTGTAAATATGGTCTCTAGAATGGACATTCGTCAGTAAGATGGTTAAGTGTTATGGCTGCAGCAGTTAGTCAGCATGGTAGTTTTGGGATTTTTATCCATCATTTACAAGAAAAGCACTTTAATACTCTACACTGTTTAAGTTATCTGCAGTCTTTCTGGCAGATTGGAGTTCTTTACAGAAAGTGTAGGGGACAATGTGGGCTCTGTTGTTTTCCTCTAACATAGAAGAAAGTTGCACAGAATGAACTGGATGGTGGAACTGTGACAGCCAAAGGGAGATGTACTAAAGAAGGGATAAAAGTTACGTTAGTCGACTGACTGTATTGTTGATGGTGAAGAGACAGAAGTGGTGGCCAGTTTTTGCCAACTTGCATCACTTATTAACAGCAAAAACGTGAAATATCACACAGATTGGCACACGGCAGAGCAAGAATGAAGGAGGGTGAAAATAGCTTTAAATGTAATGATGTGTCTGTACGAACAGAAATCAGAATTGACCAGCCAGTGGTCTTCTCTCTGCTTCTTTATGGACAATAAAGCGGGACAATGAAAAACAAGACAGGAAAATATTGCTGCCTTTGAAATTTGGTGCTGGTGACTCTTGTGAGTGCCTTGGTAGAAAAGGAAACAATCAAATAGATCCTTGACCAAAGGAGCTCTCACCTCTCACTCAGACATATCATAGAAGAACCAGTTATTTGAAAAAGACCCTTGTGCTTGGAACAGTTGATTTTAAAAAAAGAAAGAGGATGACCAGCCACAAGATGGATCGATACAAGTCATTAAGAAGCCTGAAGATCCAAACAGAAGACGGGACATTCTGGAGAAGCACTATCCATATGGTCACCTGGGGTCAGAACCATCTTGACAGCACTTTGCTGTAATTGCTAATAATTGCTAGTTACATGCTATTCATCAGCCGTTTCATTGTCACTCCCCACTCTATATGGTGACTGTTGCTCAGGACTATGAACCACTCTTTAAATCTCCATTTTAGTGGAGGGAAGTTTGTTCAACCATTTTATCAATAATCCTTTCAGCAGCACTCAAAGATATCTGATTAATTGGAAGGGCCTGGCGATTGTACTTGTGATTAGGTTGAGTGAGCCACACGCCATGCCTTACAGTCAGTCAAATGCTTAAAATTCTGGCAGTGTAGGGTCAGCATGGATGAAGAAGGAGACCAGCCTTTTAAGGTGCTGGCATTTTAATAGCTTGTTAGCAGGTTATATCTGTAAGCTGTCAACCTCTGTAAACAGGTTATATTAAAGCTCGAGATGGCTGTCAAGTTCGTTCCACTGCTTGTGTAGCTTAGGCTGCCGTGACAGCAGAGAACTCACAGAGGCTCCACAGCGTTGCCGTGGAAATGGAATGTCAGTCGTTTCTAAGGTTCCCGGTGAGAGTACGGCTGTAAACGTCAGCGCCTGTTTTAGCTCCTGACTCTGTTCACGTGCCACTGATTCTGAACCTGCAGTGTGAGAATCCTTTTTTTTTTTTCCTTTTGATGTTTGAATTTTGACTTGTTTGTTTTTAACCTTTGTTGTGGTTTTTATTGTTCATTCATAAATTAAGAATGCTGTAAAAGGTTTATAGACCTGGATAGTTCTTTAGGGACCATTCTTATAAATTAATGCAGTGTGAAGAACCATTCTTACATATCATTTCTAAGTTCTGTACTGGTTAGAGATTTTTCCCAGCCTATAATGGTAAAGGAACCCTCATTTTTAATAATGTTCTTACTATTTTCTTTCTTATTTTAAGTGATTTTAAATAGGTTAGTGCTTTAAATTTCCTTTTGAGGACCAACCTTTGCTCAATGTTGCCTCTTTCAGGGGGTTCACAGACCAGCTGCGTAAGATCTCAAAAGATGCTGGGATGCCCATTCAGGGACAGCCATGTTTCTGTAAGTACGCGCAGGGAGCAGACAGTGTGGAGCCCATGTTCAGACACCTGAAGAACACCTACTCCGGCTTGCAGCTCATCATCGTCATCCTGCCTGGAAAAACGCCTGTCTATGGTATGCACACTCAGTTTTGCATGCTTTTATGTTTTTTTTTGTGTTATGATTTTGTACAAGCAGTTTTGCAAATTAAAGACAAAGTAAAGCAGAGAGGCCCCAAACATTGTTTCAGTGTTTTCAATATTGGCAATTTCATTTACCAAGAAAGTAGTTCCAGCAGCTTAGAGTAAAGCAATCTTTTTTTAATTAGCAAACAGTGCTCATAAGATTGACAAAGATATGGTGTTTTTTTAAAAAAAAATAAATAAATGAAATTACATGCTGGTATTATATATAACAACATAGGTTGAACTTATTTCAGCCAATCACATTGTGTGGTCAAAACAAAATTTTGTATAAAATGCTGTTTAAAAAAAAGTATAATTGGGATACAAAACAATCTTAAAACAATGTCCTAGAACATGTAAGTGAAAGAATACTTCAACATGTGGTGTATCCAGAACACTGCTTTTTGTCTCTCCATGAGCTTATAGTTTACCCTCTCCTTTCTGTGATTATGGTGCAGCGGAGGTGAAGCGTGTAGGAGACACTCTTCTGGGCATGGCCACTCAGTGTGTTCAGGTGAAGAATGTGGTGAAGACGTCTCCACAGACGCTCTCCAACCTCTGCCTCAAAATCAACGTCAAACTCGGCGGCATCAACAACATCCTAGTGCCACATCAACGGTGAGACCCGCTCTACAGGACTCTGTATGACATGTCTGAGCTTAAAAAAAAGGTAAAGAATACATAAACGACAAAATTTCAAGAATTTCCATAACCTGGGAATTTCTCCTCCAGGCCATCAGTATTCCAGCAGCCAGTGATCTTCCTAGGGGCAGACGTTACACACCCGCCTGCTGGAGATGGGAAAAAGCCCTCCATTGCTGCCGTGAGTTTGATTCCCCTGTCTTGATTCCTCTGTAGTTCCCGCTAAGGATGTTAAATTTTGTAAAATTTACACTGCAAAAATCTTAACTATGGACAACAAATCAAATATTTCTTATTATGAGGTTTCTCAATGTTCTTTACTTGTATTAAGTCATTTTATGTAAAGAAATTCAAAGAAGCCATTTTGTGTGGCTAAATTATTCTTCTCCTGGCAGATAATTTGGCTTGTTTTAGGACAAAGTGCAGATCATTTTGCTTATTTTAAGAAATGAAAAAAGTGTTTAGAAAGAAGTAAAATAATCTTGTAATATTTTTACGATCTTGTTATGGGAAATATTAAATATATTAACTAGATGTAAGATGATTTCACAAGATGTAAGAAAAATTTTGAAAAATGCTCTGAGTACACTAATGTGACCTGGATTTAAACACAGTAGCGATTGATGAAAAGCGCTTTTTATTTTTATTTATCTTTATATTTTTATTTCTCTCTCTCTCCCCCTCTTTCTCCCTCTCTCTTCCCCTCTCTCTCTTCCTTCCTCTCTGTAGGTGGTGGGCAGTATGGATGCCCATCCAAGTCGGTACTGTGCCACGGTTCGGGTGCAGAGGCCCCGGCAGGAGGTGATTCAGGATTTGGCCTCCATGGTGCGGGAACTCCTCATCCAGTTCTACAAATCCACTCGCTACAAACCTACCAGAATTATCTACTACAGGGATGGTGTGTCCGAAGGCCAATTCAGACAGGTCAGTAGTGAACAAAGCCAAGGTGGGCTTGAGGGCTTATGTTAAGCATTAGTATTTTGTGTTAAAGGTAAAAGTGTGTTTTACTCTTACAGGTGCTGTATTATGAGCTGTTGGCTATCCGGGAGGCCTGCATCAGTCTGGAGAAAGAGTATCAGCCCGGCATCACCTACATCGTAGTGCAAAAACGCCACCACACTCGCCTCTTCTGTGCCGACCGCAACGAGAGGGTGAGCTTTCTTACAGAAACCACACGCACATGCACCAGCCTCAGGTCTGCCCCTCCGCCTGAAGGCCTACATCTCTGTACAGTGTAGCGTTAATCTGAGACACCTGGCTGTAATATTGAGATGTTTCTGAAGACCAGGTGTGTTAATTTACCACTGGAAATTAACCATGCAGGGTGATAGGTCTCCAGCAGCAGAATTTACTGTTGCTGATACCTTCAGTTTGGAAACAAGATGTAAGTAAAATTAATAACCATGGCCACACAATATGGACAGAAAACTAGTGTTATACTGCCTCATTTTACGATATGCTTTACATTATAATAACTCTTTAATTGATCAATAATGTCACATTGTTAAAGGCTTTGAAGTCCTGGTGAACACAGTTTAAAATATTGAAAATTATTGTATGAAACATCCTGCGACAGTTGAATTTAACTGGGGGGGGGGATGCACCACATTACTCCCACTCCACACCACTCACATACTCTGGTGCAGAGTGGCATGAGGAGAAAGTTGGAGCATTGCTGTTCTCTCTGACACTTTGAAGCCTGACACTTTTTTCCTAATTTTTTGTCTGTCTTTGTTTTTGTTTCTTGTTTTGTGTGTGTCTTTTTAATTCTCAAGATACACAATCAAAATATACATAAAATGAACATACATAATATGTTGTATAGCAAAATATGGAGCAGACATTGATTAGGTTGTCTCTGTTTGTGTGAGCGGTGACCAGGATGGGGAAAACCGGGAGCAGAGTGATTACAGAATGCTTTAAATGGGAAATGTATAATGAACAAAAATATAAACTCAACACTTTTTACTGAAAAGATTTCACCGAAACCCCACAAAAAACAGGGTGGGTTGTGAAACAGAATTCCTACACTAAGTTTTGGTGTAACCACATTTGCCTGTAGCAGCATGACACCTTTCTAGGGGAGAAAATGGGTCAAATTGTTGGAAAATGGGAGCAAAACCAAAAATGTTGCATTTATATTTTTGTTCTGTATTTTGCCTTTGATCCACTTTGCTCTGATAGGCTTGCATATTGCACCTTCCTGTGACATCAGTATTGCAAAAAAGATTAACAAACGCATGTATTGTGCAGCCCTAGTAATAACAGGAGGCGGATCACAAGGGTGTCCACCTGCTGTGGTTGTTGGGTCTGCAGTCTCAGGCCAAATGTCTCAGTGAATTAAAACCTGTCAGGGCATTGTATACCCGACACTCTCTTCTCCTCGCTAAGCTCCTTTAGCCACAAGCTTAATTATGCTCATTTACACAACAGTGCCTTCTCTGCCCAGCCTGTAATTATTTTACATCAGCCAAGCTGCACTGAGTGAAAGACAGGGACTTCATAAAAGCCACTTAAGAATCATGAGTAGTGACAGCTTTTATTTTGACAGGAATTGCAGAGCAGAGAAATTCAGCTTTTTGTAAGAGGAAAATCTCTAATGTCTGCTGAGGGGGGCTGCACTCTTCTTCTGTACGTGATATTTTAGGCTTAGGGTTATGATCGTTTTTTACTACACTGGGAAACCATGCAAGACTCCATGTGGAAGTCTGACAGATTTTGCTGTGTAACATTACAAATTCTACTGTGTAGCATACAAAATTTTAACGTACATGCTCATAACTTGCAACCCTCTTTTTCTGTGCAGGTGGGCCGCAGCGGTAACATTCCTGCTGGTACGACTGTGGACACAGACATCACGCACCCCTACGAGTTTGACTTTTACCTCTGCAGTCATGCTGGAATACAGGTGTGCAGGCACTAGGAATAGCCACTTTAACAGCTTTTGCTTCTCAAATGCCCATATCAATGATCAGTTATTGAATAGCCCACTCATTACATTGTGGAAAAACAGCCAAAAGTCTGATGGTCTTTACTGCGTACAGTGAATAAAAACACGAGGTGATTTCATACTGACTGTTTGATTGATTTAGTGACTTGTCAGTTAAATCTGTGTTTGAACTATTTCCGTATGTAGCTCTGCTTAGGTGTGTCTGTTTGGCTTAGTGTGAGAGACAATATCAGCTCTTTGTGTTTCAATATTATCTGCAGTCCTATATAGCATTTTCAACTCAAAAAAAAAATAATAAAAAAAAAAGAAGTTATCCTTGTCACTATAGGATATCGTGTTTTCAAACGTTGTATCAAACCTCTAGTGGAGATCTTGGTTGTCTCATTGCTTCTGTATACTCAGCATGAACAGTGATTACAAATCACTTGCCTGTTGTCCTTTGTAGATACTGTAATAGCTCCACACAGTCAACACTTTTGTTGTTGATCTTCTGCTGCTCAAACTGTTTAAATGCATCTGTGCTGACAAAGGGAGCAAACAGTGTTTTGTACACTACTTCTCATTTTCATTTGCATTTGATAATTATTCGTTCAAATTATTTATTAAATGTTAGATTTTGACTTTGTTGTAGACCTATTTCATTTTTATTATTATTATTTAATTCTGTATTACAGATTCTTAATGTAAATACTTGATCAATGCTTAGATCAGTTTGTATAGCTGTATACTCAAATAACCATGTCCATCCTTACCACACACATCCCTGAGCCAGATGTCTGCGCTCTCCTGCCTCCCACTGATGTGGGAGTGCATGTGAGAGGTGTGTGAGGAGATCAGGAAAAGCTGCCTCGTTGTTTACGCAGAGAACACTTTTGTGTGGGAGATCGGTTTTACATCAGGCTCAGCAAAACTAATTTGCCCATGTGTGACCCCTCAGTGCTTGCGCCACCCACGTTGTTTTGTTTGTTAACTATTCCATAGCAGTAGAAAAATTTCCATTCGGAAAATCTTAGCAGCAAAAGCTCTCGTCATAATCGGTCAAGCACTGACGTCCTTATCTGTATTTGTTTGTGAGTTGCTGATAAGGAGGTTGTTTGTTTGTGTTTCTGTTACATCAGTGACCCACACTCAAACATAAATATGCGCTCTGTTTGGAATTGCTTCTTATTACAGTAATGGTGACCTATATAGTGTGTCACAATTTGATTTCCCAATGTTAAATCATTTGGTCGTTCTGTGGTCGTTTCCTTGTCTGTTCACTATAAAACAAAACTCTGTGTGTCACATACAGTATATACACACACATAAAATATGTATAGTTCACTGTTTGTAGTCAATAGAGAATGAGTTGACAAGCAAGCTGTTCCGAACACAGCAGTAACTTTTTCTTCCTGGCTCATTTGACCTCCCCCTACCTTCCTGCTTCAGCTTTCTCCTTTTTTTTTCCTTCAGGGCACGAGTCGCCCTTCCCACTACCACGTGTTGTGGGATGACAACTGTTTCACGGCCGATGAATTTCAGCTGCTCACCTACCAGCTGTGCCACACCTATGTGCGCTGCACGCGATCCGTCTCCATCCCAGCGCCCGCCTACTATGCCCATCTGGTGGCCTTCCGCGCCCGCTACCACCTGGTGGACAAAGAGCATGACAGGTGAGGCTCCTGTTGCCTGGAAACCCCCTCTAGCACCCTCTCATGAGCTTTTGTCAGCTTAGTCTTATGTCGGGAGGTACACTGTAGGTGAACGATGAGGTCCGTGATTTTAATGTAGTGTGTGTGGTTTTCCAGTCTGACGGTATTAATTGTGGAGTGATTTTAAGACAGTATGAATCTGCAATGTGAACTTGAGCAATTTGATAAGCCTTTTTACCTAAAATTAGGTGAACAATAGCATCAGTTATTTTATTGCAGTATGAATTTGCACTGTGTAGTTTTTAGAGTCTGACATTATTAATTGTGGAGTGATTTTAAACTAGTATGAATCTGACAGTAATAATTTGTGGAGTGATTTTAATCCAGTGTGAATCTGACAGTAATTAGTGTGAAGTGATTTTAATCCATTATGAATTTGATAGTAAAAAGTGTGGAGGAATTTTAATCCAGTGTGACTCTGACAGTTATCATTGTGGAGTGGTTTTAATCCAGTGTGAATCTGCAGTGTGTGTGTGTGTGTGTAGTTTTTTTACAGTCTAACAGTAATAATTGTGGAGTGATTTTAATCCAGTATGAATCTGACCGCTATCATTGTGGAGTGATTTTAATCCAGTATGAATTTTGACAGTTGTCATTGTGGAGTGATTTTTAATCCAGTATGAATCTGACATTTATCTTTGTGGAGTGATTTTAATCCAGTATGAATCTGACAATTATCTTTGTGGAGTGATTTTAATCCAGTATGAATCTTGACAGACATTGTTGTAGAGTGATTTTAATCCGTTATGAATTTGATAGTAATAAGTGTGGAAGGATTTTAATCCAGTGTGAATCTGACCGTTATCATTGTGGAGTGATTTTAATCCAGTATGAATTTTGACAGTTGTCATTGTGGAGTGATTTTTAATCCAGTATGAATCTGACATTTATCTTTGTGGAGTGATTTTAATCCAGTATGAATCTGACAATTATCTTTGTGGAGTGATTTTAATCCAGTATGAATCTTGACAGACATTGTTGTAGAGTGATTTTAATCCGTTATGAATTTGATAGTAATAAGTGTGGAAGGATTTTAATCCAGTGTGAATCTGACCGTTATCATTGTGGAGTGGTTTTAATCCAGTATGAATCTGCAGTGTGTGTGTGTGTAGTTTTTACAGTCTGACAGTAATAATTGTGGAGTGATTTTAATCCAGTATGAATCTTCACAGTTATCGTTGTGGAGTGATTTTAATCCAGTATGAATCTTCACAGTTATCGTTGTGGAGTGATTTTAATCCAGTATGAATCTGACAATTATCTTTGTGGAGTGATTTTAATCCAGTATGAATTTTGACGGACACTGTAGAGTGATTTTAATTTAGTATGAATTTGACAGTAGTAAGTGTGGAGTGATTTCAATCCAGCATAAATCTGCAGTGTATGTAGTTTTTACAGTCTGACAGTATTAATTGTGTAGTGATTTTAATCCTAAATGAATTTTGACAGTTATTGTTGTGGAGTGATTTTAATCCACTATGAATCTGCTGTGTGTGTGTGTGTGTAGTTTTTACAGTCTGACAGTAATAACTGTGGAGTGATTTTAATCCAGTATGAATCTGACAGTAATAAGTGTGGAGTGATTTTAAGCCCATATGAATCTGCAATGTGAACTTTTGCATTTTGATAGGCCTTTTTACATTAGCAGGTACTCCAAATTAGGTGAACAATAGGATCAGTGATTTTATTGCAGTATGAATCTGCACTGTGTAGTTTTTAGAGTCTGACATTATTAATCGTAGAGCGAATGGTTTTCTGTAAATGGCGGAGCTCCTTCAGTAATAGTAGTTCTGTTCCAGTCCACCTTCCAATAATGGAATAACAAAACCTGCTAATAAACACAGCCGTGAGGTTATGTTTTTGTTGTTGAGTTCATTTGTTTAACGGTGATGTAACCTTTTAATTCTGTTTGTGGGAATCACACAATCCTAAACATTTGGCCAGTCAAATCCCAACAAATAACAAAAGTCAAATTAGCTAGTGCTTTAAACTGATTTACTTGCTTTTCTTTAGTTTGCTTCATGGTATTTTGTGAAAAGCGTTGTTTGTAATTTTTGTCTTTTTCCCTTCTTCCACATTCAGTGCGGAGGGCAGCCATGTTTCTGGTCAGAGTAACGGTCGGGACCCCCAGGCTCTGGCTAAAGCTGTGCAGATTCACCATGATACCCTGAGGACCATGTACTTCGCCTAAGAGAGCCCCAACTTCTACACACCCATACACACACACAAACACACACTGACACATAAACTCACACACCTCCCACCAATATGTGTGTCCCTGAGGGTCTGATTCCATGGCAGTGAGAGCGCCCACTAAATCCGGACCGGACACTGTGCGGTAGAAAAGGAGGGTGCCTGGCCTGAGAACGCACACCTGCTTTAAACCCCACACCTGAAAACTCAGCACTATTATGCAATATTAAACCAGCCAACTGCTTTCCCCCCCCCCCTTTTTCTGTTGGGGGATGTCTTGAGGCTCCCCTCTTCCCTCCCTACCAAACAAAAGGGAGGTTTTGGATTTTCTTTTTTTGTTTTGTTTTTTTCTCTCCCCTGTCTGTTGATCATTTTACCTCAAGCTTGTAACAGCAGCACTTTCTTACCCTCATAAACCCCCCCAGTTGTTGCAGAAAGACATTGAGAGAGCAGAGTCAGTTCTGGGAGTTAGAAAACGGCATGTCTTCTGCTAGATTGAAATGGGCCCTTTTTGTTTAATCTACATCAATAATGGTGTAGCCAAAGTACCTTTTTATTTCTCCCTACTTTTGTAGCCAATCGTGACTTAAGATGTATGAGTGTAAATTGTGATGAACCAGTTGTGCGTTATTGATGTATAAAAACAGACACACACATATACACATGCTGTAATTGTGAGTAAAGTGCCACCCACAGGCATTAGGCCAGATATTCCCAGAAACTGCCTGAAAGCTGATTAGAATAATGCATTTTAATTTGCTTATTTTCTTTTTTTTTCTCCCCAAACTTTGTGCCGAGTAACATTATTTTAGGGTGGTCCAGAACATTGTCTGTGAGCTCTCATGTACTGCAATGCAAACTGATCATATTTTATATATATATATATATATATATATATATATATATATATATATATGTGTATAAGTTTTTTTTTAATTCCTCCCAGTGTTTATTTGCCTGGTTTTAGTTTAATTGCATTTCTTTGCGGCATTCTCATGCCCTCCCCACCTCTGTCTTTTATCTGTTGTTCTTAAAACTCGGAGAGGCCATTTTATTTGACAGATTATAATATTACGGTTTTTAGTGCAATAATCCATTAGCGGGTTGAGTGTCCCTGCACAGACAAAAGCTTTGTGGGTTATCTGAGACTGGAACAGGAGGAATTAAGAGGATGACAGCAGCTTTTCTTTTGTTTTTGTTTTTGTGTTTTTTTTAATGGAAAGGGAATGGAGGGCATTGTAGAAGTTGGAAAGATGTGTATGTTTGGCACTTTCATATTTATATATATATATATATATATATATACACACACATATATATCTATTTTCTGCTGATGGAATTCTAGTATAATTTGAGTTCATCTGAGGATTGGCCTCTCTTTGATAAGGATTGAAAATCAAGTGCCTGGTTTTGGAAACGGTTGATTTTATAGGAGGTTGAATGGCTTTTAAGTAAAGAATGTTTTGCTTGGAAACAGTTAATGCAGTGCATTAAGATTAAGACCAAGGGCACAGTTCAGATAAAGCTGTGACAGTCCAAGCCTCCGAAATTCTTTCGAAGAATTCTTCGAGGTTTTAGCTCTCTGTCAACACACTTCGTTCAACTGCAGTAAGCCATGATCTGTCTTAACTTCTGTTTTGGTGAGTTTTTTTTTTGTTTGTTTGTTTTTCCACTGATCAGTATTGACAGGGTTATTGTTTAACTGTGTCCTTATTTTGGCTTTTTTTTTTCATTTCTAATTGGAACGTGCACGGACAAGTGCGAGTCCGTTCAGGGAGAGGAACTCAAGAATTGGGGATTTGAGTCTTTTTATAAGTATGTGACCGTAACTCATAGCTTCGTTTGTTTCTCTCCATGGCAGAAACCTTGTAAACTATCATCTGCCTCTTCTGCCTGCTCATAACAAAGGATCTAGCTGCTATTGTACGGGTTCCTTTGATAAGACCGATGACGTGCTTTGGCTCGTTTAGGGACGAGAGAGCGACGGGCGGATGACGAAGTCTCTCACAGATGCTAAATGGTGCGTGTACTCTTATTCACTGGAGGGCCAGTAGAGGGCAGCGTGGAGTTTTTTACTTGAAGAGCGTGTTTCAGCATTCTGTGTGCAGCGGATGCCTTGCTCTCTCGCTCCGCACCCTTTCTGAAGCACGTCCCGTTTCATGAAGGAGGGAACGGTAACCTGCACTAATCGATGCTGAACAAAAGCTTGGTGCTATAAGGTGTGTCGTTTAAGACCCACCATACAGATACATTGGCATTGACTTACGGACATGAGAGCAGGAACATGGAATGGTTACACGGTGCTGGCTACATATCTGTCTCTCTCTCTTTTTTAGTTAGGTAGAAGTGCTCGCAACTGATGCGTTTGATCATTTAGTCTGTGCTTGATTATGCAGTTGTCGTTGGTTTGGTTGTGCTGAAGGCTGAACGTGGTTTCACTTCTCCCCTCAATGCCAATAAAAAGATAATGTAACTCAAAGTCAAAGCCACTAGGCGCCAGTTTGTATTATGCAAATGGGATCATGCTAACTGGCACCCACTGGCTTTCATTCATTGTTAGCATGTGTTCACAGCCTTTATTGAATTCCTTTCAAGTGTATCTAACTTTTAAATTATGCAAACCACCACTTATTTTTTGCAAATTACATTATAAACAAAGAAAGATAGTAAGTAATCCTATTAACAGAAAGATAATAGTTGCAATAGTCGCTTGTGATGGTGTAAGGGTTGTTTTGTAGAGATTAAGAATGCTTTTCTCTGTCTGATTGATCGGCCTTGTCGTTTTTAGTGTGTTAGGAACGTTTTTGAGATCGTTTGCAGAAGATTGAACTTCACAGGTGGACTTTAATTATTTTAAAGAATTATTTTAAGGCGTCATTTGAACTATTGATTAAGTTGTGAGAATACAATGTCTATTATTGATGAATTTTGTCTTTCCATAATGGAACCACTATTGGTGCTTCAGAGTTTGAAGAGCCTGATAAGCCTGATTTCATCGTTGATTGTTTAAGTAATCCTAGTCTCAGACTCTGCTCGCCACAGCAGGTACAACATGTTGCTGTCTTTAAGTGCATTTTGTCCTGACCGAATAGTTTAGTGTAGTTATGAATTAATTAATTAATAATGTTTGGTTTGTGAAGCTAAAATAAACGTGGTAGCAGATCTTGAGGTGAGTTTAGAACTGTGTAGCACAGATACATGCCTTTGGAACTGAAGATGTGTAGGGTGTAGCAGTCGTTTGTTTGCCACATGGATGTTTTCTTTTGCGTAGACGTTGGCAAGTGTTTTGTATCCTCCCATGAACTGTAGCCATGTTTCAGAATCGCTGGTGGATTCGCCAAAAAATTAACAACCCAATCTAAATACTAGACTTGCATCTCCCCTCTTTCGTCTTTATTTTTCTTTTCTTTTTTTGTTTAAAGTGTGGAGCTGAAAGGGTTGTAGTTTAGAATCTAATATGGAGTTTAAAGTCCTTAGAAAGTGCCTTTCCTCATGACGGTGCTGAAGAATATGAACCTAAAGTGACAGATCAAAAAGCCGAGTGGTCTCTTATCTTACCCTGAGGCATCGCGCGCGCACACACATATATACACAAAACCACGCACGCACATATAAACACATACATTCAGACACATTTTTATCTAAAGAGCGAGACTCAATGACGTCTTTGCGTATATTCAGATATTACGATGACAATATATGCCAAGTATTTGAACGTACGGTTGAGCTCTATCATGGCGTGTTAGGAGTCAGGACCAATAGACATGCTGGCACAGGTGAATGTGCTGTATTTGAAATGGGGATAGTGGGGCCTGACCCTAGAGAGGAAAGCCTAGCACAGCACTTTAAAGACTGCCACCCAAACAGGAAGCAAAGGCTTTCTGATTTTTTTTGTCTTTTCATTTCTGTCATGTTCTCCAGATAAAACAGATAAACGGACTTCAGTCCTTTTGAGGCTTTTGTTGTTTTAGGAGTGTGTGTGGAACCACTCTGCATACGGTTGATCATTCAAGAACCGAAAGTTTACGCGTGGCCCCCACTGTGGCGGAACTTGGGTGATTTCCGACGTGAAAAACCCCATCGGGTGGTTTTAGGTTTTAGGTGGCTTGGTCACTTCTCTTTCTCTTTCTTGTGCAATGCCCTATAGATACATACTTACAAAGAGCATATGGTATTTTTTTTTCCTTTTTTTCCTGTATTACTTTTCACATGTGACTTGGAGAAGTAGGGTCAAGCTTAAGGTTTTGACCCGCTTAGGCGTGCGTTTTTCACATGGGTGCCCGTCGTCGGTCCAGGAGGAAAATACCTCTCTACAAGAGATCTCGAGAAACACTGCACCTCACTCACCTTGTTATGCTGCAAAATGTTATTCTAAACGAGATAAAACTGCAAATATTGCTTTGATTACAAGTATAATGCTAGATTTAATGCCTGACATTTATCCTTAACTATTTTAGAGTAAGAGGAATTGTAAGAAGACTTTTGTGAGTGTGTCTTAACACTTCTCTTTGTTGAGCCAACTTTTTATTTTGTGTCTTATTTAAATTTTTTTTTCTTTTAATATATTGGAAATATATATGCGAAATATTTTATGGTGTATTTATTGAGAGTGTGCTAAAGTGCGGCTGGAGTGTCCGCGTTGTAGGCAGCATTACTGGGGGGAGGGGAGCAAAAGGGGGGTACATAAATAGCCCCCATTCTCCCAAACAAACCCATCCGCAAAACTACCTTTACTTTCAGTTTTGAACAGGTGCGTCCAGATCCAGTCCTAGAGGGGCCTTCAGAGTATTAAATCTTACATACAAAGAAAAGCTGCCAAAATGGTTCTTCGTTTCCACTTCTTGGTGAAAAGGTGGTTGAACCAGTCCTTAGTGCCCCTCAGACAGTCCACATTTTTTGCTCCAACCCAACTTGCGACAAACGGGAATAGAGCTAAAACATGGACTGTCTAGGGACCCCTGAGGTTTTGGGAACCACTATCCTAAAGAACCTTCTGTGCAGTTTTTGTCATGGAGATCCACCACCCTGTAGAGTCTATCTTAAGGCCTTCATTACGTTTATTACCAGATCCATTCTTTGAAAGGTTCTAGAAGAAAGAGTCTCCTAAAGCAGCAGTGCCCAGTCTGATTCTGGAGATCTGCTGCCCAGGAGAGTTCAGATCCAACACACCCGGCTCTACACACTTAAAAAGATGGTTCTTCAAGGGTTCTTTACTAAAAGAAAATGGTTCTATATAGAAGCATTAAGACTTAAAGAACCCTTTTATGTGATTTAAAGGGTTCTTTGCATTGTGAAAGCATTCTTCAGATTGACAGTGTGTTTTATATTCTATATAGAACCTTTTCATAAAGGGTTCTATATAGCACCAAAAAGGGTTCTTTTATTGTGTCAAGCTTGACATTGTAACAATAGAAGAACACTTTGGTGCTGTTTTGCAGCACATTCTCCATCAGTCTGAAGAACGGTTTCATGATGCAAGGAACCCTTTAATCATGCAAACCATTTTATTTGCTAAAGAACTCCCAAAGAACCATCAGTGTATATTTAGATCCACTTCATTACCTGGATCAGGGCTAGAGATAAGCTCTGCAGGGTGGTAGATCTCCAGGACCAGAATTGGGTGCTCCTGTTCTGCAGCATCTGTCCAAAGAACTATTTTCGCACCTTTATTTTTAGGATGGGTTCATTGGGTGTTGCTGGGATGTAACCCAATCCAAATCAAAATTATTTCACAGTGTGTCGCCTAATGACATGACTTACCTGGCTTCTTAACCTGTTTTTTGCATCAGGTTAAATCGGGAGAGTCAGGAATAGCTGAGCATTGCCGTGTCGGGACTGGATTTTGGACAGCCTCTATTC